ATTTACCATTTCATACTTAACTTCAATCAATACTCATGCATAAGGAACACATTCATTTCATAAGTCATGACAAGGGAAAATAACTCATAATACAACCCAAGTATAGCATGCATTATCACATTGGACATTTAACTCAACATTCTTTATTAGCTTCATTAAGAATACTTTCATTCATTAGTCATTAAGACAATAGAGAACTCACTATGACCCTCAAAGCCTACTCGTGCAATGCATGGATGACATCCCATACTACCACCCACACTTCATAGAACTTCTCAAGAAACCATAATGCACATCTCACATGATGGGAATAAGCATTAACCGACATAGACCATGAGAGCAAACCATGGAATCCGGTGTCATATATCCCTACACCGTAAAGAGGTGGTCTACTTTCCTAAGGTAAGACCGGTAACATTTTAGCTTAGGTAGAAACCTACTAGCTAATATCCTATGTGGGCACATAGTTATGAGATAGGAAGATGTTCATTGGAACCCTAGCCTAACATTGGGAGAGTTTCCATCTTACCATATCCACTCGATGCTTAGCCTTCATTCCCATAGAGTATTTCATTTTCACTAACATTATTGTACTTGAGAGGACCACCAATATTAAGCCTACCGACCCAAAGTACATTGCACAAGAAAGAGCCACCACCATTAGGTCTACCGATTCAAGGTACATTAGGGATAGCTCATTGACTTTCCAAGAAGGGTGCCCTCAACATTGGGTCTACCGATACAAGGTTAATCATTTCACACATGAAAGGGCCACCTACACTAGGTCTACCAATTCACACTAGTTTCTAGACTCATCATGAAGGGCTACCAACACTAGGTCTACCGGTTCAAGACATAGCGTAGAATACTTCATCATTCATTTATGAAAGGAATGTCATTGGCCTATCGATTCATATTCATCAAGTCAAGACACATTCATTATACAAGAAGAGGATGCATAAGCCTACCAATTCTAGACATGATATTACATTCAAGGTCACATTCATCAATACAATAAAAGGATGCCTTAAGCCTACCAATTGAAGATACGTCAATCCACATTACTTTCATTTATACGAGAAAAGGATGCCTAAGCCTACCATATCAAGATATAACTTCACATTATAGAAACCCTTCACATTCTATCATCACATTCATGAGTGTCAAATTGAGAAATAGCCTTTCAATAATAAAACAATTACATTCAAGACAAGATCATATTATCATCATTAGATTCACATATATATTCAAGACATCATGATAATACTCAATTCCTCATACTATGCCCTTCAAGGCCATGAATATCAAATCACCAACACACCAACAATTTACTACAATTAAGGCATGAATAGTGATACAATTCAATATACTAAAGCAATTTAAACATATTCTAATCACATGCTTGCATAATCAACAAACCCACTTCATAAAGGCACAATTTAGGAAATTGAGAGAATTCATGGGGTTCTTAGAGTATTTTTCATCATAAAATCATCAATAAAACACTAAATTCAATCATAATTTGTCATTAATAACCATTTGAAACGATTGAAGAAGGAGCCCATGAGTTAGAGTAAAACCCTAGGTTTTGAGAAACTTGAAAACTTTGAAATTTACTTTTGAATGGACTCTAGGGGAAAAAGCTACCCCTAGATGAAGGATCATCATACCTTGCTTGTGAATCCCCAAGAAATTTGAGGAAGAACACCTTGAATCAACAAACCCTAGCTCCCACTTCTTCTTCTTTTTTGGGAACTTCTAGAGAGAGAAATATTGAGAGGAAGAACTCTTTTGATTTGATTTGGGTTTTGGAGAAATAAGGAGTAAATGTATTGTTTTAAAACTTAAAACTATATATACTAGTGATATAAAAAAATTAAAAACAACCCCACTTAATAATTAATTAAAATGAAATTACTCAAAAGCCCTCAACTTAGGCAGCCCCGTCAGGGACCACGCCCACTTGGACGGGTCGTGAAGGGGACCATGGCTCATGGTGTTGCCTGTGGTCCCTTAGGCAGTAGCCGTCCTCAACATGCCAAGCCTCCAAGGGCCTAAGGCATGACCACGAGACTTCCCACAATCTGTGGTCAAGACCAAGAGTCGTGGTCTTGAGGCAGTGGCTTCGCTTTGAAGCCTTGCCTCCCATGCACCCAAGTGATCTTCACGACTACCTATATGGACTGTCAAGGGCACCACGGCTCGTGGTGGTGCCCGTGGTTTTTGAGGCAGTCGATCCCTCAACCTTGCACAACTCCCACAAGGCCAAGGCAACCCCACGAGCCTTCCCATGGCCCGTGGTCATGACCACGAGCCATGAAGTGGCTCGTGAAGGGGAGCCTTAGCTTGGCACCTTTCTAGGGCACACTGCCATGCCAACCACGGGTGGCACCACAACTTGTGGTGGCCACCACGGGTCGTGAAGAGCCTCGTGGTCATGGTAGGCAGTGGCGAAGCCTAGTTTTAGGTGGCCTTGATCCCCTAACCATGGCCTTCACCCAAAACCCTTAGCCCTTGCCCTTAACCCTTGACGTTAACCCTCATGTTTAGGCTCTAGTTTTACTTACTAATTTTCTGAGTCATTACATTCACATCGCCTTCTTACTTAATGTTTTAATCCAACGTGCACTGTAACTTTATGTGGTCTATATCGGGATCGCCGATCACTTTTGCGATGCACCCTTTGTTCCTTTGGATCGCCAATTCGCTTGTATTTTTTTCGTTTCTTAAGTGCTTTCGCGGTACAATCTCGCTTTGCCGATCGATTCGGCGACTCGCTGATATGAAATATAGTTCACCCAAATTTCTCTCATTTCAGACATGGTGTACTGTAAAATTAGGTGGGCTAGGAGCCACTCAATGAATTGTCGAGTGGTTTTGGCGATCATCAGGATCGCTTTTCTCCATCTCTTTAGCTTGCTGGTTCCTTTATGCTCGTATTTTTCCTTGCTTTGCTCCTTAGCTTGTAATGGTAAAAATCAAGGTGTTAACATCAGTCTATAGAATATATTAGGCATTTGAGGACACTGAAACTATCAAACTAAGCTCCAAATGAGTCCAAATTTCGAACTCATCAACACCCTCAACTTAAACTTTTGCTTGTCCTCAAGTAAAACTCAATATCAGCAGTTCAATAAGGATGTCTACAAATAGTGCTTCATAAGACTCAATCGTGAATGCACACAACAAGGTTAACATTATTCATATAATGATCAATTGTGCACTCAAAGATTCAAATTGTGACTCATCATTGTCAAAGATGCTCAAGTTCACAATACTTGCTTCAAATGCAAGTTCAAGCTTAACAAAGGTACTCAAATGCCCTCACAACAAAGATGATTCCATATTCACACAAAATTCTTCAACAATTTAAAGTGTCGGAATCATATACAACTCTCACACTCACAAAGATGAACACATGCATGACTTCACCCATAGGTTTGCCCTTTTTTCAAATCATCAGTCGTTCAGCTTATTCAAGATCACAATGGTCTTTTCTAGGCTTGTAAAGGGGATGAGTGTAAAGGTATGGTCATTTAGGCTTATTGGCTTCAACCTTCATGAAGTATGGTCTGAACATCACTTTCCTCCTTTTCTTTAACACTTCAAACATGCTCATAATTAACCCCATTATTCAACTTTATATGAACTACCGGATACCCCATTTCTTTTGCAATTTTCACTACTTTATTTCACAACTTTTTCAGTCCTTCTTATTTTATTTTTTATGTGGATGGGTTTCATCTTTTTCAAAGCAATCACAAAACAGGGGATTTCTCACACTTCTTCATTTTCCTTCTCCTTTCACCATACTCCCAACTTAGGCTTTTGGCCTAAGTTGGCTATTCAAGCAAATCATACTTTATGAAAGTTATGGGTGAATGGATAAAGAGAGGTCACAATTGCTCAAGTTTCTTCCAAGAAAAAGGGATAAGGCTCAAAAGGTGTCAAGCAAGGTTCACATATCTCACAAGGTTGGCCATAAAAGAAATATATTGTCAAATTGGTTCACTCTTAAAAATTCTTGTCATTTCAAGTGCTTGCCTCACTCAATCAACCAGACCAACAGGGCAAATTCTAGGTGTCATCACACACAATGTTCAAAGTAATCTCATCACACAAGGCATTGTTACCAATATCAAACAAGACTCCACACTTTCTAGCTAGCGTGCAATGTTCATCACAAGAGACTCATTTGACAACCGGCTAGTCACAACGAGATGCTAAAGGTTCACATATTATGTATGTAACTTGATTTGCCTCATCGTAGCTGCACATTTATTTTGTTCAATTCAGAGCACAATTTAGGTCATCGGTATTGACCACACCTGACACATGAAAGTTTCGATAGAACAACAAACTCCTACCATCCCCACTAAAAGAATCCAGCATTGTCCTTAATGTTAGCAGAGAACAAACACTCCACAAGATAAACTAAAAATAACAAAAATAAAGATAAAGTACTGGCACTCAAACAAACAAATTAGGGTGAAAAGGAATCTTCAGTAGGCGTCCATTTGGAGAAGAATTGTGGTGATCGTCAAACCATTCGGGACCCCGCCAAGTTGCATGAAATTTGCCAAAATATCCAACATGTAGCCACTCCATTTTGGTGCAGGAAGGCGGACAAAGAGAGGTCTATCGAGTAACATCGGCGCATTGCCTAGTGTATGTGAAACCTCGCCGAAAGTTCCAGGACTCCGGCCTTTTGGGGATGGTGCAGAGGGTGGAGAAAGTTGGGTTCGCCCAATTATTTTGGTGAATCACCAAGTGGTGTATGTAATTGGCCCAATATTCTGATACCTCAGCCCACTATTGACGCCACAAAGGTGAGCAAATTCGTAATCACCGAACCCACTCAGCGGATCGTAGAAGAAGTCTTTGCATCGCAGAATCACCCACACCTACACTTCCAGTACACATTATTCAAAGCAACTAACACTTGGGTTACCTCCTAAGAAGCGCCTTATTTCACGTCCTGGCATGACGTGGAAATGCTTTCAACCATCTTCCAAGTACACCACTTCAATCAATGAAATTTCATGGCATTCTCCAAAATACAACTTCAAGCGTTGCCCATTCACCTTGAAGGCAGGGCCCTTTTTACCTTTAACTTCAATGGCTCCATTTGCGAACACTCGTGTCACTCTAAACAGGCCTGACCACTTTGATTTGAGCTTTATAGGAAAGAATCTCAGTCGAGAATTGTATAGCAACACCCAATCTCTAACTCAGAACTTCATCATAAGGACCTTAGAATCGTTCCACTTATTCATCTTCTCCTTGTAGAGGGCTGAACTCTCACATGCCCTAAACCTGAATTCATCCAATTCGTTTAGCTGATCTACTCTACCTTTTGAAGACTTTACCCAATCCAGATTTAAAGCATTTAATGTCCATAATGCTTTGTGTTCCAGCTCAACCAGTAAGTGACAAGATTTCTCAAAAACTAGTTGATATGGGGACATGCCAATTGGTGTCTTGTAGGCAGTGTGATAAGCCCACAGAGCATCATCTAGCTTTTGAGACCAATCAGTCCTATTTGCGTTCAGAGTCTTACCCAAGATACTCTTGATCTCCCGATTCGAAACCTCCACTTGGCCACTTGTTTGAGGATGATATGGCATTGCCACTTTTTGTCACACCCCGTATTTTCTCAATGCAGATGCAAACAACCTGTTGCAAAAATGTGAACCACAATCACTAATAATAGCTCGAGGGGTGCCAAACCTAGAAAAGATGTAGCGCTTTAAGAACTGAACAACACTTTTCCCTTCATTGTTGGGTAGGACCACAACTTCCACCAATTTAGAAACATAATCTACCGCTACCAAAATGTACTTATTACCAAACGAGCTCACAAATGGACCCATGAAATCTATTGCCCAAACATCAAATAACTCAACTTCTTGAATAGGCTTAAGAGGCATCTCATGCCTCCTGGACACCCCACCTTATTTTTGGCATTGTATTGTAATGACCCTAAAATCTAGTAGGTGAAACTAGATCTTAACGAGTTTCGTTTTGAGTTTAGTTTTGGGTTTCATATGATAAAATATTGTCCCGAGCTATGGTTTAGGGGTTTAGGGGTAAAACGTCAAGGTACGACTCCCCAAGGACCACCCTAGGGGTCCTTGAGGAGGACCCTAAAGCCTAACCCCCAAACCTCCCAAAACTGCCCTAACTAGCCCAACTTGGTAAACCACGGATGGGACCTACGGGGGTGTAGGTCCATCCACGCCTTGTGGTCTTGATCAGTAGGTCAATGCCTTCAAGACTAAGGCCCAGCCACGAACCACAAACAGCCAGGACGGTCCATGGATCCATCCATTGTCCGTGGATTGGGTATGTGGTCCATCACTGTAAAAGTTGTCTTGGGTTCGGCTAAGGTAAGGTTGTTTTGGTAAATTGCTTTTATGATCTATTAAGTTGAGGGACGGTTGTTTTGAGTTAGTTATTGTATTATAAGAGTATTAAAGTATTAAACTCTATTTTCCAATTCATTATTTCAAAAACCAAAATAGAACCCACCTCTCTTCTCAAAAGTTCTCTCTCTAGAAACCTCCATTGGAGGTGAAGGATTCAAGATTCCAAGGTCAAATCTTCAAGTTTTTCAAGGGATTTTCGTGGGATTCTTCCATAAAAAGTATGTTGGTCTTCATCCTTGACTTATTTTCTTTCAAGGAGCCAATTTCAAAAGTGATTTCAAGTCTCCAATGTTTACCCAAAATCCTATATTTCAATCTATGCAAGGGTTCGATTCTAACTGATTTCCAAAGGCTTTATTGCATTGATTTATGAATGAATTGTAGATTTAAAGATGAATTAAGATGATTTCTTCTTAGAACCCATGTTTTCCCCCAAATTCTTAAGTTGTGATTTATGATTGAGATTTGATTGATTATGAAGTATGTGGATTGTTTATGTGTATATGGATATAGAATATTGAAATTATGTTATTTCTCTTGCCAAGTTGTATTTATCTAAGGTGTGTGGGTGAATGTGATCCATGGCCTTGAAAGGCAAGGTATGAAGGTCAAGGTATGATTATGATGTGAAGGATATATATATCTGTGTGTGTGAATTCAATGATAGTATAATGATCATGTTTAGAATGTAATAGTGTTGTGATTGAAAGCATATTCTCAATTAACACTCATGAATGATGATGATGGAATGTGAATGGTTTTTCTTCTATGAATTATATATATTGAATTGGTAGGCTTATGCATCCTTTTATTGTATAAATGGAAGTAATGTGATTGTGATATCCTGAATTGGTAGGCTTAGGCATCCTTTCTTGTATGACTTAATGTCTTGAATTGGTAGACCTAATGTCGGTAGCCTTTCATGAATAAATGATAAATTATTCTAGGATAAACCTTGGATCGGTAGACCTAATGGTGGTGGCCCTTCATGAGGAGTCTAGGAACTAATGTAATGTTAAAATCTTGAAGCGGTAGACCTAATGATGGTGGCCCTTCTTGGTAAGTGAATGATCTATCATTAATGTACTTTGAATCGGTAGACCTAATGGTGGTGTCCCTTTCTTGTGTAATGTACCTTAGATCGGAAGGCCTAATGTTGGTGGCCCTCTCAAGTACAATAATGTTGATAAAAATGAAATACTTTATGGGATTGGAGGCTAAGCACCGAAAGGATATGGTTAGATGGAGGTTCTCCCTACGTTAGGTCGGATTTCAATGAACATCTTTCATATCCCATAACTGTGTGCCCACATAGGATATTAGCTAGTGGAATCCATCCAAGCTAAAATGTTACTAGTTCTACCTTAGGAAAGTAGAACACCTTTCTTCAGTGTGGGGTCATACGACACCGGATTCCATGATTTAGCTCTCATGGTCTATATCGGTTAATGCCTATTCCCATTCTGTGAGATGTGCATTATGGTTTCTTGATGAGTTCTATGAAGTGTGGGTGGTAGTATGGGATGCTATCCATGCATTGCACGAGTAGGCTTTGACAGGGTCATAGTGAGTTCACTAAGTCTTAATGGCTAATCTATGAATGTGTCCTAAATGAAGCTAATGAAGAATGCTGACTCTTATTTGCTTAAATGTGAAGATGCATGCTATACTTGGATTGTATTATGAGTTACTTTCTTGTCATGACTTATTGTATATGAATGTGCCTTGCCTACGGTGACCTCAAAGGAGTACTTAGTGTGAGTAGTAGTATGGGATGCTACTTGCACATTGCACAAGTATGACTTAGGGTTGTCTTAGATGATGGTCCTTACGTGATGATATGACTTATGAAATGTCTATGTCTCTTATGTATGAGTATTGTATGATGATGAAAAGGTTGAATGGTAAGTTCACTTTCGGTGACCGTAATGTGGTACTTTAGTGTGGATGGTGGTATGGGACACTATCCATACATTGCACAAGGTATAGCTTGAGGGTTACTTCAGGTGAAGGCTTAATGTGAAGGTAATGGCTTATATGGTGATTATGTCTCTATTGTGAACAAATGACTTGTATGTTCGTTATGTTTCAATATTATGCCTCTTATACTTATGTTCATGAAGTTTTATCAAAATGGCATAAAATTATGACTTTCAAACAAAATGTCCGTTTTAAGCATGTTTTTGCATGACTATCATACTTAGTACTTAATTGTGCTAACCCATTCTTCTTAATGTTTTACTACAAGTGTAGGTTTCGGCAAGTGAGTTACTTTCTCTCTAGTTGAAGCTTGGATTTGAGGTTCTCCAAGACTAAGTGGTATGTCCTCATAGATCGAGGACAAGTACTTGATGTTTCACTTTCTTTCATGTAAAAGACTATTGTTAGACTTTTCGATTGTAAAGGGTCATGGCCCTACTTATGTTTCAGATGTTGTTTTAAGATGGCCATGTGAGACAATAGACTTCCTCTATGTTTCAAAGAGTTTTAAATGAGTATTTTGATTGTATGGTTTTAAATAAAGTTTAATTCCGTACTATTTCTCTTATCGAATGCAATGAAATGCTATGAGGCTTGTATGAGACCCCATCGGGGTCAAGTACGCCGTGTCGCATCTAGGGTCTTTCCTTGGGTCATGACATGTATGCATTTCTTGACAAATTCATGAGAATTTTTGTAGAGGGATGGCTGGTAGTAGCCACTTTAGAGAATTTTAGCGGCTATACGCACACCGCTATGATGACCACCAACCGGTGAAGCATTAAAATCATAGAGAATTTCATTGAATTCTTCTTCAGGTACACATCACCTAATAATATGGTCTGCACATTCCCTAAATATATATGGCTAATCCCAAAAGTATTTATTGGCATCGAACAAGAACATGTTTTGTTGGTAAAAGTTCAGATCCTCCGGCATCAATCCACACACTACATGGTTAGTGAAATCAGCATACCAAGGAATTTGCTTGAAAGTGACCGTGAATACCTGTTCATCGGGAAATGAGTCATTGATGTCTACCTCTAACTCTTCATTCTCCTTGCCTTCTAACTTGGATAGATGGTCATCCACCTAATTTTCACAACCTCTTCTATCTTTGACTTCAAAGTCAAATTCTTGCAACAATAGCACCCACGTTATCAATCTTGGCTTGGCGTCTTTCTTTGCCATTAAATAACACAGAGCTTCGTGATCAGTGTGAACAACCACTTTGGTGCCTATCAAGTATGCTCGAAATTTTCAAATGCATATACTACCGCAAGTAATTCTTGCTCAGTAACTGTGTAGTTACTCTGAGCACCATTCAGGATTTTGCTTGCATAGTAAATGGGATGGAATAGCTTGTTGAGTTTTTGCCCCAACACAACACCTAATGTCGTACCACTTGTATCACACATTACTTCAAACGGTTCCAACTAATTAGGACTAATGATAACCGGGGTAGAGATTAATTTCACTTTCAAGCACTTAAAGGCTAGCATACATGTATCATCAAAGTTGAATTTCACCTCCTTTTCCAAAAGTTTGCAAAAGGGTGTGCAATTTTTGGAAAGCCTTGGATGAACCTCTGGTAAAAACCAGCATGCCCCAAGAAACTACGAATACCTTTTATTGAAATTGGTGGTGGGAGCTTCTCAATTACCTTGATCTTTGCCTTATCAACTTCCAGCCCTTTTTGTGATACTTTGTGACCAAGAACTATACCTTCCCTAACCATGAAGTGACATTTCTTCTAATTTATGACCAAATTTGTTTCCACACATCTTTGAAGGACATGCCCCGGGTATGCTAAGCATTCTTCAAAAGTATTGCCCACAACTGAGAAGTCATCCATAAAGACTTCCACTGAATCTTCTACCATATCAGCGAAAATAGACAGCATGCAATGTTGAAACGTTGTTGACGCATTACACAACCCGAATGACATCCTTTTGAAGGCAAAAGTTCCATATGGACACGTGAAAGTGGTTTACTCATGGTCATCCGGAGCAATAGATATTTGATTATATACGGAATACCCATCCATAAAGCAATACCATCCTCTATCTGAAAGTCGATCGAGCATTTGATCCATAAAAGGCATGGGAAAGTGATCTTTTTGGTCCAAGAATTTAACTTCTGGTAGTCCATGCATACTATCCATCCGGTTACTGGTCTCATAGAAACAAGCTCCCCCTTTTCATTTGGAACTACTATGA